CCATTTCACGTACCACTCAGATATTACAGATGGTCCTGGAAAGAGTATGAAACAGTTACTTGGTATCAGTTGTAAGTAATGAGTTCTTTTCTTATATTGGACATTAAGACCATTCGATAAGCGTATGTTGTGAGATTTTCACAGCATAAAGCCCGTCACTGATAGAGTAATGAAGAAAATGTTCTCCAAATCACTATAGAGTTGAGAGGAAAGGGCATTCATATTAGATTTCTTTATTTAATGCAGAGCCTTAGTTTACTACCCACACCCCCGAAATTGTTTCCTTATTTACTTATGCGTTCTTTTTCAATTTTATTTATATATTTATTTATTTGGTTGCACCAGGTCTCAGTTGCAGCAGGCGGGCTCCTTAGTTGCGGCTCAAGGGCTCCCCAGTTGTGGCATGTGGGGTCCCCATTTGCAGCAGGCAGGCTCCTTTATTTGTGGCTTGCAGGCTCCTTAAATGTGACATGCGAACTCTTAGTTGCAGCATGCATGTGAGACCTAGTTCCCTGACCAGAGATCGAACCCGGGCCACCTGCATTGGGACCAAGGAGTCTTAACCACTGCACCAGCACGGAAGTTCCAATTATGTGTTATTTTATTCACTGGCAGGTATACATACTTCTTAGCCTTTTCCCCTCTGTTTTTTATAAATACAGAAAAGAGAATAACATCTTAAAATAAAATGAAGGAAAGGCCTAACGTATCTGAGTTTTTCTCAGTAGCATGAAGGGAAATGTTTGCCAGCAAGAACTGTGGCAAGGTTATCCCAGATGTGAACTGTCTCTACTACCCAGGGGCTCAGAGCCCTTCTGAAGCTTCCTAATTGTCCAGGACAGCTCCATTATGACTCACCACACAGGACCTAGCGTCCCATGTGACACTCAACATTTAAAAATTAGTCTTCATTTCTCCTTCCCTGCAGGCAGCTTCAGTTGGAGAAAGTAATTTCATTTTCTTATGTACTCATTCCTTCACTCAGTCAACAGACCATCACTCCTCTATTATATGACAATATTTATGCTTGTTTCTCGTAACAAGGAAAGAATAATACATGGTTCCTTCAAGCACTTAAGGAGCTCATAAACTAGTGACAGAGGAAGATGCACAAACAAATCAATAAAGAATTAACAATGCTTTGACTTTATTTGTATTATTTGAATTTTTATGACTATATTTATATACTACACCCTGTTCAAAATGGAAATGGACCTTTAAGAAAGAACTAGTGATATAAAAACTCCACAGTAATATGTAAGTTCTTTAGAGAGTTAAGAATGGAAATATTTGCACTCTCAAAGAAACCTGTTAATGCAGATGAACCTCTAATTCTTTTGGTTGCTTTATTAACATTCATAGAGGTATATGTATTCCCTCTTCTAAGAGGGGTTAGTAACTTGGGGAGGGGGTGCTACAGATTAAGGTCCTAATTCAGTGGCAGGTCCATCTTGTCTCCTCTTCAGGTCATATTCTCAAGCAGGAGCTACAGGATGAGACGAGTAAAACAGTTCACTTCCTTTGCGTACCCCCAGCCCCATAATAGGCTTCTGCCGGGCTTCCTTTGTTCTTTCATCATCACTTTCACCACCAGAGGTCAGGGAACCTTCCAGTTAATCAGGGGTCCTGGAAATGATGCAGAAAAGTACTGACTTAAAAATACTAAATAACATTTATTTAGGGATCACTGTGAACTCATTGCTAAAAATTTCCTACTTAATCTTCACAACCACTCTGTAAAATTGGTATTGATAAATCTCAGGTATTTCCAAAATGAGTCTCTATGTAGGGTTGTGATATTTTTAGGTCTTTTATTTCTTTAGGTTCATCTCGGCACCAGACCTAAGGCGGTTCAACATAATACGCTTGCCCTAAAGAGCTCCAGATGCCAAGAATTGGCAAATTACAACTTTGGTTTCCGTGGGTGGTCAAAAAGGATCATCAAGGTAAACTCTGTAGATTTTCTTTGACTAACCAGACTCCTTTCAACATTGAACTCCTAGACTTTAGAGAGCAGAACAGAACAGGGCTATGGGGAGGAGATGTGAGAGACTTCCACATGAAAGTATCTGAGCATTGGCCTGCCACCTAGAATTAGTGATAATCTCAATGACTTGGATGGTGGTGTCCATAATTTTCTCCAGTATTTGTATGGTATATCATAAAAAAAAATACTTGTCCATATCTAGTCATTCATTTGCAAGTCTCAGTTGATTTTGAAGGGATAGCATACCTAGACTATTACCTGGGATTGCTGGAGGTTAGTTTTTATTTCTAACAACAGAATATGTTGAAGTCTAGCCTTTAATTCAAAATCCTAACAGCTTCAGGATCTTTCTAACCTTGAAAAAAGGGAAAATACAGATATTGTGACACCACTTCAGAAGCAAAGCCTGAAGTTCTTCTGTGCTTTAGAGGTGGTGTTGCCCTCCCACGAGTGCAGGAGTCCTGGAGTTGGCATGGCTGAGGAACCTTTGGATAAGCTGGAGGAAGGTCTGCTTTCCAGTATGTGTGTGTGTGGGGAGGTGAGGGAGTGGGATTTCTCTTTTTTCCTTTCTTTCTGAAACTCAACTTTTCAGATACATCATCACCTTTTCTAAGCAACTAAAGCCCTGGGCAGAATGGTTCTGCCCGACAATATAGGTTTTTGTCTTAGGCAATACCTGACAGCACCTTAACCTTTAGAATTTTAGAACTGACTGCCTGTCAAGAATCTTAGGAGGAGGGAAAATTAGTTAGGAAATTATTTTTTTTGGTTAATAATTACTTTTGTGCTAAAATAGTCCTTCAAATACAGATGTCTTCTGTCCTTCAGTTATCCTAACAAAATCATTGTCTAAAGATTGAAATAAACTCTTGTGTAAATGTTCAGTCCTTTGCCTCCTATAAAAGGGCCTGAGCAGAATAGGTAAATGTAGATCCCTAGAAAGGGGATTCCGATTGGTACTCAGTTTTTTTCCTAGAATCCATGGCACTTGGGCTTAGGGTTTTAAGTCAGAGGCAGGGCTGTTAGCGAATGGGGTGGAGGAGGCTCCACCATCCACCTGAGTGGGTGATGGTTGAGTAGAGTCCAGATCATCTGCACTACAACCAAATCTATCTCACTGTATGAGTCCAGCGCTTTACGCACGGGAGAGCAGGGTCTGTAGCGGTGTAGCCTCAGCTTGTCCATTTGAAATCTGTGAGTAATATGAGATTTGTGCCACGTTTTTGGTTTACATTTCCCGTGTAGTATTTTAGGAACTTCCAGAATAGATCTGAGCAGTAAAAATATGCCATGCCAGGGTATACCTGCAACGGAGACATTCACCCGTACCCCAGTGTTGTGCCTGCCCTTAATCACTAAGGTAATGATCTAAGAATCACAGATGCATTTTTAGTTTTAAACATGTAACCTAGAAATCAGTTATTCATATAGGCATTTTAAATTCATCTGTTTTGGTTGGATTTAGGGTCATTATCATTCCTTATGGGAAGGAAGGTAACTCAGAAGCTTTCTATTCAGAAAGCTATGACAGATGCCTTCCAGAAATTGCTGAATGTGGTTTTAGGTAAGACCTTTTTGATTGTCCTTGAAGTACTTCAGTTTTAGTGAGCAAATAAACTTATGTGAAAAGTGAATTGGATGAAAATAATGGTTATCTAAAACATTACATATTCTTTCATTCACCAGATGCTTTCACAGCAGCAGTCTTACATTTGTTCTTTGCGGCATTTATGAGAAGAACGACAGCACATATTATTGTCCCCAGTGTTTAGATGTAGAATGACTGGCCTCAGTTCATACAGAAAGTGTTTGATCCAGTTCTTCCTCAATTGCTTGCTTCTCATACAGAATAGTGCAGTGATTATAAGCCTTGGACACCTGTGTTTGAGTCCTAACTTTGTCTCTTAGATTTTGTTGTTGTTGTTGCAATTTTAGGTTTTTCCAGCCAGAGACATTTGAAGGCATTTAATATCTGTAAGCTGCAATTTCTTTATCTGCATATAGGGTTAGTAATTCAGCTTACCACCAAATCAGGGATATTGTAAGAGTAAATGAGGTGATGAATGTAAAAAGCTTAGAACTATGCCTGAAACATAGTAAGCAGATAAAGTATATTGACTATTATTATTACCGTTGTTTTCTTGTTGAAGAGTTTATTAGATTATGTTTTTGGAATCAGTTTAATTTCAGTTTTCATTTCTGATATATTGGGTGAATATGATTCTTATATAAAAATCGGCTACGTTTTTGTGAGTCTTG